TCAAACAATTTTTGTTACATTTTATTGGGATGGGGCATTTAATAATCAATATACACACAGTGGTCATCGATAAAAGACGTTACTTTTTTTATGAAATTTACTTCCTCCTCCACACAGTTCATCATAAAAATTGCGAATCGCCCCCCCCCCCCCCTGTGTCTGTAGTGTTTGGATGTTTATGGACGATTCCTATGTCCCGCGTAGAAGGGGCGGAAATTGGTAAAATATATGTATGTTCTATAAAGTATTATAGATCGTTGTCTATTGTGTTCGGGTCGGGGAGGGGTGGTAGGCTGTTTAAAAAATAATACTGTTTACAAATATCTCAGACCTGGTCTCGCTTGGTAAGGGGGGGGGGGGGGGGGGTGTGTATCCAACCCCCCCCCCCCCCCCCCCCCCCCCCCAGACAAAGTACAGGAAAAAGTTAAATGTTTACCTATGTAAATAATCTATTTTAAGCATTCTTCATCTTCCATAGAAAAAAATGTCTGCAATAAATCAGATATGCATGTGTTGTGTATGTTTACCAGAATACACATATCCACTCCTCTTACGGTGTCTTATCCCAGCCACAACACAATTGGGTATTTTAAGGAAAGTTTATAATTTTGGGTACTTGTATAATTAATTTAAAATTAATCCAACTATTCAACTATAAAATAGACATCTGAATAAAACAATCAAATTAATTATGTTAATTATTGGATTAACATAATTAATTAATTTGGTCATGATAATACTTAAGTTCAAGAAGTTTTTTGAAGACAAAAAAATCTATTTAAAAAAAACCCACCTTATAAACGAACCCGTTAACGAAGTAATTAGCATAATTAAATTAATTAGCACTAATGATAATGAAGGGAGATAGTTTTTTACTTTCTCGTATATACGAAGTATAGAGAAAGTATTGTAATCGTGCACAAAAATCACTTGAAATTTTAACAATTTTCACCGTATTACACCTCAGTCCTTCATCACATCCGAAGTATAGAGGACTTATTTTAATCGGGCAAAAATTATCAATCCAGATTTATCAAAATTAAGAGGTTTTATGCGTAATCCAGTCTGAAAAACTGGGCTTTGCAATTCTGTCCGTATGTCTGTGTGTCTGTGTGTGTGTGTGTCCGTGTGTAAACACGATAACTTGAGTACCGTTACAGCTAGGTTGATGAAATTTCATATATAAGTATTTTATCAAAATCGTAGATCCGTATCAACTTTTGAGCTATTTCCGATAACCGGAAGTGGTACTTTTTCTACTTTGAATTTTTCAAAAGCATATAACTTGAGTACTATTTCAGATAGATAAATGAAATTTCACATGTAAGTAAAAGATCTAATTCTCTACCTTCTCTCAAATTTTGAGTAATTTCCGTTGAACGGAAGTAGTAATTTACGCTACTTCCGATTTCTCAAAAAACTAATGTAAATTTATTAAGTACTAATACTATTGCGCACTATTATACACACCTTTATTAGGCGTTCGCTTGGTGCGCAATTGTTTTTTACTGAGATTCTATTCTATTTTTAAAAGTTTAAGTATTTAAAATGGATTAAAAATCATAACTATATCCCCAGTTACCATCCCCTGTTGTTTTATATAAGAATGTTCGAGAAAGTTTAGGGGAGATCACTACCGGTTTATTTTATTATGGCACCTCTCCAAATCCTATTATTTTCACAATCAGTATGCAAAAAGTATTTATGTTACAAAAACTACACATCTCTATTGTCTCGGTGCCTAGCGCGACCTATTTAGGCCAAAGTGAGTTTGTGGCCTTTTTATTTCACGGTACAACGCAGACCATTGGCCGGATGACCACATTGTCAGACACTGGTATAAGCAATCATCGAAAACGGTGGTTTTCGAATTTCATGGTGGTACTTTTCTGAAGGATTTTATTTTGTGCTTTTTTTTAAAAATTATTTTGTGTGATGTGAATATTCAAAAGTAATTTGTAAGCTATGCTTATCACACTCAACCAATTTAACAGTTTGTGGTCGATCTGCGGCCGGGCTGATTAATTTACACTCAGCGAATACTATTACACACTACACTGCGAATACTACTACACACTACACGGCGCCCTAAGACCGTTGTTTTGATTGCAGTAAAAAAAGTCACAGGAAAAAAAAAGTCACAGGAAAAAATGTCACAAATATGTATTTGTATGGAACTTGTTAAAGCTTTTATGTAAAACACATTGAGAAAATGCAAATCAAATTACGATAAATTAAATGTAATGTAATGAGCGTATAGTAATATTTATAAGATATATAAAAAATATTTAGTATGAAGTATGTAGGTTTTAATTGCGTTATACATACAATATTTAATAGAATATGATAGAAAGGTTTTCATCGTTTTTTTTTAAATACTAACTTAGCTTGAAATGGCATAAAGGCGTAGTTAATGTGTCTTGTTGTCTTCAACTTATCCCATCAATAGTTCAACCACCTGTACTGCCCACATTTATCACGCTCAGTACATAAGAAAGCATAGGATCAAAACAGAAAGCCGACACGGTAAAAGGGTTGTCATTGACTCAAAACGTCAACAACACGCAATATGGACGGACAAGGCCGACTGTGGAGAAGCCGACAAAGGAAAGGCCTACAGCAAAAAACATATGCAAATAACAACGATGTGCCTACATTTCTTTTAGAATTAATTTTTCGACCGCGTATTTAATATATAACAAAAGTTTGGGATGCTCTGTAAATTATCTTATAGTACTTTTACTTATTATTGTTATAAATCAAAATTCTTTTAAAGTTTATAAATATCTACCATATAAACACACACACACATTAATGAACACCCAGAATTTTACAATTCTCAACAATTAAATAAAAATGTTTCTTAACTTACTTTTGGGTTGTTTTTTTTTCTGTGACTTTTTTCCGATACAATTTTTCCTTTGTGACTTTTTTCCGTTCACCGTTGTTTCAGCATGCCTTACTAGGTAAATTATAGATAACTTTAGAATCAATGCATGTACCCAATACACCGATTTTTATTTAATAATCTCCAAAAGCCATTCCGATAGGGTCGTTATTTTCATGAAATCGTCGTTTTCCAATTTGTTGTAAAGAACATGGTGTTACGATCCCATGGGGGGATCTTACCTTTTTTTTGGACATGGCTGAACGTGGGTTAATTAGGGTGTCATCTAGAGATTTATGGATGGGGGGAACTCTCGACGTGAACCCCCTTTTTCGTGGTCGGGCCAGCCCGTAATGAGAGATGCCACGGACTGGCGCAGGTTGTGAAAGAGACAAAGGGTGGGATGTTATTGTTGATGTTAGCGGGTTACCTCCCCCCCCCTTCTCATCTGAATCGCCTGGCCTGGTATGTAAATGTGGGGAAAAGCCGTACGAGAGGTTAAGTCAGGACATAGACCCCTGCACCTCGAATGGACTATTTTAGGAGGGGTAGACGGCAGACTGGGGACACTCACGGGGACACTCATGGACACTCAGGGGACACTCACGAGACACACACGGAGACGGACTCGGATAGCTAGGTCTAGAGGAGACAGACATGGGGCGTCTCTGTGAGCTAGTGGACAGCCAAGAGATGCCTGTACTGTAGTAGACCTAGGCTAGATAGACAGTTAGGGACAAGTAGGGTAGTCGTACTAAGAACTTTAGTTGTTTGTAGCTAGTTGTGTATATTTCTGATTGTTGTACTTCGGTGGCGGGTTAACTTTAAGTGTTGTAATTTGTAGAAAGAAATAGATATCACTGAAGTTGGCTTTTATTTATTTTTATTTTTCTTCTTGTTTACGATTCCCTGGCTAGTTCGAAAGGATTAGAGAAGGGAGTCGTAACAATGGTATTTAGTTCACGAGAACGTATGAAAACCACTCATGCGTGACAGAAATCGTCGATCGGGTGCCTTCACGTGTTTTGACACGTGTGGACATGGGCCTTTGTTTACATCTAAACAGCTCAAAGCGGACCTTTTTACTTTCTCGTATAGAGAAAGTCTTGTAATCGTGCAAAAAAATCGAGATTTTTACAAATCTCGACGTTTTACACCTCACTGATACGGAAAAACATAATTTTGCAATCTTGTCCGTGTGTCTGTCTGTGTGTAAACACGATAACTTGAGTACCGTTACAGCTAGGTTGATGAAATTTTATATGTAAGTATTTTATCAAAATCGTAGATCCTGATCAACTTTTGAGCGATTTCCGATAACCGGAAGTGGTACTTTTTCTACTTTGAATTTTTTAAAAATCCTATAACTTGAGAACTATTTTAGATAGATAAATGAAATTTCACATGTAAGTAAAAGATCTAATTCTCTACCTTCTGTCAAATTTTGAGTAATTTCCGTTGACCGAAAGTACTAATTTACACTATTTTCGATTTCTCAAAAAGTACTAATAATATTGCGCACTATTATGCACATTTTGTTTTGGCGTTCGCTTGGTGCGCAATTCTTTTTTCTATGAGATTCTATACTATTTTTAAAAGTTTAAGTAATTATAAATCATGTCTATATTTCAAGTTATATAAGAATATTCGAGAAAGTTTAGGGGAGATCACTCCTGGTTTATTTTAATTAATTCTTCGAAAAAATGGATATGTCCGTTTTTTAAAAAAAGGTCATTTTTGGGCCCATTTTAAAAAACGTAGAAAAAATCTAAACCACACGTAGAAAAAAAAACCGGCATTTTCGGCCCTTTTTAGCTCCAAAATCGTGACTTCAGCCGCCAACCAAAACGCGTTGAAAGCGCGCATTTGATTGATTTGCGGCGGATACTATGAACTATCAAGGGTTTTCTCGAAATTTTGTCGAGGCTTTTTTGAGTACCCAAACCTTGGGCAATAACATAACTTTATACGGAATAGGTGTGGTTGTACTGGATGTAGTGGTTGGCGATGGTTTTTCTCTGGCTAAAATTTATGTTTAAATCTAAATTTTACTCATTTTCCAGCGGGAACTATGTGAATTCTGGTGTGCTACACATGAAACACTAGCCTAGCGAACACACGCAGGAGTAGACAGCTGTTGCAGCCCACAAACTGACATGACGAGTTTGGTATCCGAGGTTATCATTGCCGTTCTCATCTTGGCACACATCCTGCATGTCTCGGAGGGTCTGTGTGACCCGGATATCCCCTCCCGACCTGTACCTGACGTCACAGGAGCGCAGGCGACTCGGACATGCACTGCTGGACAGGAAGTCCAGGGGGGTGGATGTCAGCCCTGCCCCGCTGGGAGGTTTATGACTAGCGGGATGAGTGAGAGGCAGTACGGTCAGTGTATAGCGTGCTTGGTGCCAGGTAAGGTGAGTGGTAACGTGGGTTATAGGTGAGTGATACGTTAATGGTGGTCATTGGGTGAGTGGTACATTAATGGTGGTCATTGGGTGAGTGGTACATTAATGGTGGTCATTGGGTGAGTGGTACATTAATGGTGGTCATTGGGTGAGTGATACATTAATGCCGGTCATTGGGTGAGTGGTACATTAATTGTGGTCATTGGGTGAGTGGTACATTAATGGTGATCATTGGGTGAGTTATACATTAATGGTGATCATTGGGTGAGTTATACATTAATGGTGATCATTGGGTGAGTTATACATTAATGGTGGTCATTGGGTGAGTGGTACATTAATGGTTGTCATTGGGTGAGTGGTACATTAATGGTTGTCATTGGGTGAGCGATACATTAATTGTGGTCATTGGGTGAGTGATACATTAATGCCGGTCATTGGGTGAGTGGTACATTAATGGTGGTCATTGGGTGAGTGGTACATTTATGGTGGTCATTGGGTGAGTGATACATTAATGGTGGTTATTGGGTGAGTGGTACATTAATGGTGGTCATTGGGTGAGTGATACATGAATTGCGGTCGTTGGGTGAGTGATACATTAATGGCGGTCATTTGGTGAGTGATACATTAATCCCGGCTGCCGGTCATGTGAGTGTGTGATAAATGCCGACTGTTAGACTTTTGCCTCAATCCCGAGCTAGTTTATTGGAAAACAAATCTACTTTTAATTCAAAATTTGAATTAACTGTACCCTGAAAATTAAAATAAAAAGTTATGTTTTCCAGTAACAAATTGTTTGCCATATCCTTTGTTGTTGTCTATAAAATACTACACAAAGTAGGCCTACATAAAACCAACTAATACAGATTAACCCTTTTTCTTAAATATGTTGTTTAATTCAACTAATGGATTTTTTTTCTTTTATTTAAAACCATATTTGCTATTGTACAAACTAAATCCATTTTAATTTATCAAGATCCGTCAATTAAAAATAAAATTCGTCAGTGAGTTTTTCGATATACCCCCTGGAGGCTATTGAAGAAAAGTAGACAAACTCTATTCAGGTCGGCAGATGGCTATCCTGTCTGTTTTTTTAATGACGTCATTAACTGACCTAGAGCAATCGTAGTGTGTAGAACACATGCACGTGGCACCATTAGCATCAACCAATCAGCATCTTCCTACTAATCAGGGATCCACTAATTACTAACACAGGAACTATAACGCTTACACAGCACTAGAGAGAGTTTGTTATGTCTACTAATGTCAGATTATTATGCAAGCAGCAGTAGAAGCAATACAAGTACAAGTAGATGAAAAGTAGAGTCTACAAGTACAGACTGATATCGGATTATTAGTAGATTTTACGCAACTTTGTTCTGACACTAATCATTCTCTTTTAAAACACAAACGTTCAGGAATTAAATTAGATTTAAAAAAGTATTTGTTTAACTACCCACATCTTCTTTTAAAACTGCTAATTGTTTTGATTCATCGAATGAATTTTTTAAAAAATCAGTTAAAATCTTTAGCTTAATACTTTTAATTTTGTAGTTTTTAGTTTGATAAGGGAAAACCTAAAATAATTTACTAAGCTAACCCGTTGTTATAGAAGAAATTCTCTAGTTGAACTCATCTTTGTGATAAAATAAATCCTCTAGTTGAATTCATCTTTGTGATAGAAGAAATCCTATAATTCTCATCTTTGTGATAGAAGAAATCCTCTAGTTGAATTAATCTTTGTGATAGAAGAAATCCTATAATTCTCATCTTTGTGATAGAATAAATCCTCTAGTTGAATTCATCTTTGTTATAGAATAAATCCTCTAGTTAAACTCATCTTTGTTATAGAAGAAATCCTCTAGTTAAACTCATCTTTGTGATAGAATAAATCCTTTAGTTGAACTCATCTTTGTGATGTTGTGATTTGTTCCCCAGGATGATGTTGTGATTTGTTCCCCAGAATGATGTTGTGATTTGTTCCCCAGGTTGATGTTGTGATTTGTTCCCCAGGATGATGTTGTGATTTGTTCCCCAGGATGATGTTGTGATTTGTTCCCCAGGATGATGTTGTGATTTGTTCCCCAGGTTGATGTTGTGATTTGTTCCCCAGGTTGATGTTGTGATTTGTTCCCCAGGATGAGGTTGCCTACGAGGCGTGTACTGCGACACGTGACACCCACGTGACCTGCAAGTCTGGCAAGTTCCGGTCCAGAAGCGCCGACCAGGTGTGTCAGTCAACCTGCGTCACGTGCAGCGTCTGTGGGCTGGGGGTCAACCTGGGCCTCAACTACGAGAAAGGTCAATGTGAAGGTTACAACAACACCGTCTGTTGCAATAGTGACGAGATGGTGCTGGTGGGGGGTGTCTGCGTACACCCCAGTTCTGTGACACCATCCACGGTCACCGTGAGCACAGAAGGTGTTACAGAGGGGACGACTAACACAACACCACCAAAAAATGGATGCTGTACCTGTACACCCCATTACCTGGTATTTGTTTGTAATTTAGTTTTGTTTATTATTTTTATGACCAGATCATATGTACCGTAAAATAAGTTCTGTGGATTATATTATTACAAGACACATACTTAAATTAATTAGTTGGAAACGTACCGGCTAAATATAACTCTCTAAGATTTTTGTCAAAAATAGAAGCAAAGCTATTATTAGTCTGCTCTTATACCTAACTTAATTAGATAATTTAAATGCGACTGCTAAAACAGGTACAAAAAGAAAAAAATTGCAAACACTAAATTTACCTGTGGATTACTAGTTTTAACACCAGATTTATAATTGTCTGTATAACTAATATCTATTCTGATATTTTTGGGAAAAAAAACATCTACCAAAACATTATCACTTAATGACTTTGTTGCCATAAATTTAACCAATTAGAAATCTCTATCTTTAATTACAGTCTTTTTTAAACCGTAACACACGTTTCTTATCGTACCGCTATTGTATACATTCCTTAAACCAGTGGTTCCCAAACTTTTGCAAGTGGCAACCCCCTTTTATAAAAAGTAAGTGACCCGCGACCCCCATAGAATTAAAAAGTCGAAATTAGTAAGGAAATTAAAAAGCACTAAAATACAATTTTCTAGTAGATTTTCAATATATTCTTGATGACTGTTTTAATACGATGAGTAAAATTGCATGCTATCCTCAATAGTCACGGTTGAGGTTTTGTAAACACTTCCTCATGTCATTCTCAACCTTATTTATTTCTTTGTTGTATTTTTTAACTGGAGAAAAGTTGAAAACAATTTCTTCTCGCAAAGATATCTTGACACAAAAGGGAATAAAACTCGAAAGGCAATCAATTTCACGTTTGGGTATGAATGGTGCATACTACACCAACATTGTGTGGACAGTTTTTCATTAATATTCGTTCATTATCTCTGAAGCTTCAGGTTAAGCTTATGTTGATGTACGAATATATCTGCTAGGTATGATACTCTCTCCAACCACTCTTTGTCCTTTAAGTGTATCAAATGGTATTTTTTTCCTTGCACTTCCATGAACAACATTTCCTTTTGACAGCCAGAGTACTGCAGTGTAGAAAAGCAGAACCATGTGATTTCTATTCATGTCTTTGTACAGTTCTTTAAACAGGCGAATGGTTAGGGCTCCAGATTTAATATAATTTACAACTTTTATTAGCAACGGAGTCGAAAGAATCTTGCTGGCGAGAGCATACCGGTGAATCATGCAGTGGATTCCCCTTGGTTAGGGAGCTAAATCTTTTACTGTTTTCTGAAAGCCCGATCTTCACCCAAACATAGATGGCGCACCATCCGTACAAAGCCCACAGCCGTAATCCCATTTTAATCATCCAGTTTCAAAAATGTATTTATTTTTTTCTAAGATATCTTCACAAAATAGCAACTCTTCTTTTCGATCATCTGAAAAAATATATTTCACAAAGACAAGCACACGATCTCACATCTGTTGATTTATCAACTTGAAAAGCAAACAATGGTGAAAGCTTGATTTCATTCAAAATTTGTTCTTTAACATCTACGGACTTAACTGCTATAAGCCGCTGAATAGCATTATTAGACAGAGATATTTGTTGCATCTTTACTGCACTGGAATCCCCAATAATTAATTTCACCACCTTCAACATTCAGGGTTTGGTGAGATTTTCTACTTTTTTTTTGCTTAGCAATTTCTATTGTGACTTCGTATGATGCTTGCACTAATGCTGTGTTTCCTTGGTGAAAACTTCCTGTTCGATCAAGTCTCTGACGTTTGCAACCAGCTTCATGCTGAATAAAGAACTCCATTTCTTTTTGGTGTGTTCTGAATGACTCTTCTCAAAATGAAGTTTAAGTTTTGAAGGTTTCATAGACTCATGGCTGAGAACAACTTTGCACAATACGCATTGCTTTTTCTCTATTCCATTACCAGTGATGTCAGTAAAAATTTCAGATATTCTTCAGACATTTATGTTTTTAATTTATGTGCTAGGGTTTAGTCTACCAATTGGCGACCCCCCAGAAAGCCCTTCGCGACCCCCAGTTTGGGAACCCATGCCTTAAACACAATCCTCTTGTTTAAACACGATCATTTTCAAAATAACTTTAATAGATAAGTTGGCAGGATAAATATAAAGTAAGACGGACAAGAGGGTGAAAATGTTTTTATTCACTGCTAGTCGCCGAATATTGAGAATATTAAATCTGTTTGTTATACAAATATAGGTTGTGTGTTTTTTATACAAATATAGATTGTGTGTTGTGATAATTTATATATACATACTTTTATAGAACTCCATTTTTAAACATAAATTATATATAATACACACATATATATATATATATATATATATATATATATATATATATATATATATATATATATATATATATATATATATATATATATATATATATATATATATATATATATATATATATATATATATATATATATATAAATTAAGCAATAGAAATTTTTCGTGCTTTTCTTTGCTTTTATTTTTGTGATAGAAAAATAACACTATACTTTCTAGGTGGGTGGAGATTGCTTGAATGTATGAGGGCTAGAGCATGATTTTAATGTCGGCTTAAAAACAATTTATTTTATTTACATCCGTTTTTTTCTGTTAAATATATTTTCACTTGATATCCACTGTATTTGGTGATTGTATATTCCTGCAAAACTGCCTGTAAACTATAATTAGACCCTACAGTTCAGCTTATTTAATTCATAGCACATCATTCCATTTTTGTGTTTTTCTTCTGGTTTTATCAAGCTCTTGCTAAGTTTTTATTAATTAACTAAATACTCGTCGATTAAGATCAAATGTCTCACATTTTAAATTGCTGGCTTTTATTGGAAAAGTACGTCTCAATATGCTCCACCATCCAGTATTACTCAAATTACTGCTGTGTCGATCAATCAAAAGAAATGATTGTACAATCTCAAACGAGAATCTCCAAGCTGTTTTGTTAACATAGACATATAGTCCTGTTAACATACACATATAAACATGTTACCAACATAAACATATGAAATACCATTGTGATATTCTACTCTACTACGCTGGCTACTTCAAAAATATGATAGAGGTACAATTTTTTTTATTATACATTAACAAAATAAAAGAAGTGTGTACTATTTTTGTAGTTACTTTTGTCACTTTGCTCTCTGAAAAACGTGAAATAACACTGTACTCAGAAATATTTGCCTAGTAATATTGTTCTAAGAAAAATATGTGTAAAAACATTGTACTTAAAAAAATGTGAAATAATATTAAACCAACCAATATGTGTTGTAGAGCTGGACTTAGAGAAATGTGAAATAATATTGCACTAACCAACATGTGTTGTAGAATTGGACTTAGACAAATGTGAAATATTATTGCACTAACCAACATGTGTTGTAGAATTGGACTTAGACAAATGTGAAATAATATTGCACTAACCAACATGTGTTGTAGAATTGGACTTAGAAAAATGTGAAATAATATTGCACCAACCAACATGTGTTGTAGAACTGGACTTAGAAAAATGTGAAATAAGATCTAGTTAAGATATTAGAACCAAGATTTTTTATTGTATACATTTTACAAAGTATAAATTATATTTTTTAAGCAGTTTTAAAGATTGTGAATCCATTTGTACTTGTTTACCCCACTCCCGGTTAAAGTTTATCAACACATTATGCATTTCATTGTTATATTAATGCACTTGTATTTTATTTTGATTTTTGATCTGAATGAATATTTGATTATAGTATATAAACCTTTGGTGGAATAAAGATTTGATTACACTGCATGTGTTAGTATATAAACCTATGTTAGATTATTTACTCAGTATTGCATTTACATTTGGATTTATTATGTACGCTTAAGAAAAAATGGAATTAAATGTACTATACTATATTGTAAACTGTGCTAACACAGAGGCGTCGCGAGGCGGGGATGGAGGGGGTGAGGACCACACCGGGTGACGCCTTTTAGGAGGGGCTTTTTGCCAGTTCAATGATTGATTAATTAGAGTTATAAGTATTTGTGTACAAATGGACGACCCCGACAAGGCGCGGGAGAGAGGGGATTAGTACTTGAGTCTGTTCCTAGTGCTTAAACTAGAGCTACAGTTTCTGTAGTCCTCCAGGCTATGTGTATTTAAAAAAAAATATTTTTACATCAAATGAGGTGGAGGTAGGGGGGGGGTAGATATTGTTTTTGAAAAAAATCATAAATAAACGTTTTAATAACAAGCTTTTATGTAATAATGCACTGAAATGTATGTTTTAAACGTGACGTCTTTTATAGTTGACCACTGATACTTGTAGATGCACATGAATATTATTCCCTACATTTTCTGTAATTTTCTTCACGGTTATCTTATATCCCAATATTGCTAGCTTGAACCTTAAAGTACATGCTTAATTATTTTTTTGTGTGTCATTTTTTATTTGTCAATTGAAAATCGTTGGAAGAAATACAGCAACGAAAACATAGCCAAGTCAACAAAGGGAGATTAACAAATTTATTTTACTGCTTTTGTCTTTTTATTGCTTATTCCCCTTTAATGTAAAATTCTAAATTATTAATAAATTCTATTTTAAAAAGTACGTAATTTGTTCTTCCATGAAAAGTTGAATGATTGAGTTGTAAAATTATTGTGCCGAATGTGTGTATGTGTTTAAGGAATAACATACTTAGACTAGCGGAAAGTGCTCTAATAAGTTTATTGCGTCATAACACACAGAAAATAAACACAAACCTATACGGTTCTTTGTTTTCAACACAAAGGGCAACTTAGACTGAATGTTTATGAATCAAGACGTTTTCATAATTTCTAAAAATAGATATAATCTCTGTACACTGTCTATGAAATCCATCTTTTCATCACAAATATCACTTTATAAAGGGAGGTAATGCCCAATAAAAAAAGCACAACCTGTATCAACATTATCTTTTTCTGTCTGTCTTTAGAAAGTTGTTTCCATTGGAACGTTCTGAGCACTTTCCCAAGACAATTCTTTTCTTTGTTATCGCATCTTCCTGTCTATTTGATCCTAGCCCTCAACCTTGTGAGATCAATCGTGTTCTTGTCCCCCTAGCCCTCCCCATCACCCTGCGAGATACAACTAAGCGCCATAACTGTGATTTCCTGTGGCATAATCCTTAGTACATGGCCCTTCTAACGCCATCTTTTTTTCTTAAACCACTTCAGAAGATAAAAAATATTTTCCATTTCTCTTAGTAGGCTGTAGTTGGAGCTGGTCTTAGACCAATATGTTACGTCCGGGTTAAATTCGAATTAAAGAACGACTCGGGTTAACGTTCGATACGTTTATTAGGTCTCACATATCACATTACAACGTAGCCCTCGACCTAACCCTGCCAACTAACTAACCCCTGACAACCATTCACTCCAGCTTTTATACCGCATTCGACCTTGGGATAACAATACACAAACACACCGGGGTTAACAATATTCTAGGGTAAACTCAACTCACACACTCACTCTCCCCTAATTCTAGATCATTCTATCCTATTCTAGTCTAACCTACAACTGACCCGTAACACGATAGAAGCCTTTTATCTGTTACAGGAACTCAGAAAGACTCCAGATTTCGCTGCCCAACAGAAGGACGCTCATGGCATTTGAAAAAGTCTGCATTTGGTCTTGAGGAAGATGTTTTTTCGATCTGCATGGCTCCATAGGATTTCTCGGCTTTAGAGATGCGTATTTTAATTTCATTGTTGCTATCACTTTCATATTTAACCATGCTAGAAATTTAAATCTTGCACATTATCTGCCTAAGTGGTGGGTCGATGTAGCCGGATCGGTAAACCGAAAAGTCCCTAGTTTGAACCCACGGGTAGATGAGGCTCATTACCCGTAGATTGCATCCCATTTAGAGGAGACAACTCCAAAATCAAATAACTGCTGCCTTGTAGCTTGTGCTTCGATGAACAAAGGCTATGGAAGCAAAATCAGAAAGAAAAGCAGACTGAAATATGGCCAATAGGTTGACACCTAATACTTAATTATGTTGCAGGAAATACAGTCAAACATTACAACAAGTACGAAGAAGAATGGGTTGTTTATTTAAAAGTTTTTAGTTAGGCCCACAGTCTCAAATAATTTAGACTTATTTTAGCACCGGTTGACTTATCCAAGAACCCACCCCACCCCACAGGATTATTAACCCCCACGGGATTATAAATCCTCCTAGACCACAGCAGTTACGTCCCCTGTTTTGGAGCTCACCACTAGATTATTCAATAGCTCCTGACACTTGCAACTCCCAGAATCCCTCGCGCGCGTCACTGCGCATGCGCTAACGAGTATATCAACATCCTATCGGCCATGTTTCAGGCACACGACGTCATGATTCTGTCATATCCGGTGTCATGATCTTTCAACTGTTCACACGACAGGACAAACAATGAGGACAAAATGTCCTCGTCAGCGCCGCGACTGGGAAACAATGCGACAAATTGTCTACATCAAACCTGGGTGACATGCCCCGCGGGCCGAAACACGAGCGTCAGTCTATAAATAACTCATCAGACGCATGGGCGTCAGTAACAAAAATGGGAGTCTAGGGACACGTGCATGGACGGGATGTGTTATGATGTGTTGTTTTAGCACTCGGCTAGCACACGCAGTCAACTGATTCTAGCGCATGTGTAAAGTTGACTTAAGAACACACTCAGTCAACTGGTTTTAGTTTA